TCTCTTCTCTCGCCTCTCTCTCTCCGTCTCCTTCCCGTCTTCCTCTCTTCCGCCTGCCCAGTGATGTTAAACTTGGGTTACCAGGTGCTCAGCTCCGTACTGTCGTCATCCTCCTCCGTAATCTATCCAGAACGGCCCTGTAGTCCCGCTGCGTCAGGAAATGGGAGTGAATGCTTCACTGTCCTTCCTCATTCGTTCCTTTCTCGGCACGATAGTCTTGCTGCGATGCTCACTGCCACTATGATCATGAGAGCTTCTCCATCTTATTCTATTCTCGAAGTACACGTTCCCCCCCCCCGCTCGCGTGACGTACCAAGTCGCGAAAACTAAGCTATAAACAACAGCGTAAAAAGTGCATCCATGCAACATCTTTATTATGCGGCATACATAGTACTGTACTCAAGGGTGAATAATAATCGAGAATCTTATTATGTATCTAATTATTATTCACTGCTGATTGTTATAATATATATAATATACAGCATATATTATACGGTTTGGTTTATTTATGTTATAAATGTTTATATAAGCATGTATACTATATATAGTCTATATACGCGATCGCCCGATGTATATATTATATATATATATATAATATATATATAGATAGCGAATGGAGCGCTAGCGCTAGGACACTGGGTGTTTTGCGGGGGCCGAGTGCTGGCACTGAAGCACCGCACCGCACCTCCACTGCGCGTGTGTGTGGTACCTGAAACATTATATGCTAGAGCACGTGTGTCCCCCTCCCCCCTCTCCGCTTCCTCCCCCTCACCTTCCTCATCTCTCTCTCTGGAATGGGGGTGCGAGGAATTGTGCCTGGCATATTACTTCGCCGGTCACCTTGCCACGCTTGGACCCCATGCCCGCGTGAATCCGATCGCGAGCAGTGTTTTTTCTCGATTTTTAATTCAAAGAGCCAAATTAAAGCCGCGCTCAGCTCCACCGGCGGATAAAACAAAATCGTCGATCATTGGAGTCGGGCTGGGCGCGTGTTTACAATCTCCTCCAACGCACTGCTCAGCTCAGCTAGCACTCTTCTCCACCAACATGCTTTTTATATGAATGCCTAGACCACGCAGGATCCTCGAGCTAAGCTGCGTGAACATAACGAGCAGCAAGATGCACGCCGACCATGGTGTTTCCCAGCACACAACAAGGACAGGCGCACGCCACACATGTGTGCTCACCAGGGCGCCAGCAAGCGCGCACACACAAACACGCGCGCAACAGGCCACGCGCACACACCACCGCATGCCGCACGTATCGCTGCTATTTAGATGTTCACGCGTATTAACAGTAGGGAGGGGATCATGAGAGATAGAAATATGATTGAATTGATTTGATTACAATACTAAATGCGCTAGATAAGACTAGATCGATCTATTATATATATTAGATCAGTTAATGAATTGAAATACGCTATAGAGTAAGATAGATAGATAGATGGATATGATCGATAATATATATATAGATTGTTAAATTGAATAAATAGATAGATAGATAGATAGATTAGATAGATAGATAGATAGATAGATAGATAGACTAGATAGATAGATAGAATAGATATAGTTAGATTAGATCAGATACATAGATAAATATATAATCCATTGATTGAGATGCATCGAATAGATACATAGATAGATAGATAGATAGATAGATAGATAGATAGCATAGATAGATAGATAGATAGATAGATAGATAGATAAGAGTAGATAGATTAATAGAATTAGATAGATTAGATAGATAATACACCTAAGACTAGATAGATCAGATACGATAGATATATACATATGATAAATATCATGAGATAGACAGATAGATAGATACATTAGATAGATAGATAGAAATACGATCATAGATAGATAAGATCATAGAATCAGAAAATTAAGAAAATTTAAAAAGATAGATTAGATAGATAGATAAGATAGATAGATTAGATTATAGATAGTAAGAGATAGATAGATAGATAGATAGATAGGATAGATAGATAGATGATAGATAGAGTAGATAGATAATAGATAGATAGATATGATACATAGCAAGATAGATAGATAGCATAGATAGATAGATAGATAGCACTATATAGATTAGATAGATAGATAGATAGATAGATAGATAGATGATAGATAGATAGATAGAATAGATTAGATAGATGTATAGATAGATAGATAGATACATAGATAGACTAGATAGATAGATATAGATAGATAGATAAAGAGATAGATAGATACATAGATAGATGATATAATAGATACATAGATAGATAGAGACGATAGTAGATACATAGATAGATAGATAGATAGATAGATAGATAGATAGATAGATAGATAGATAGATAGATAGATAGATAGATAGATAGCATAAATAGATAGATAGATAGATAGATAGATAGATAGATAGATAGATAGATAGATAGATAGATAGATAGATAGATAGATAGATAGATAGATCATCTGTGCTGACCAACGACACCAATCACTCTATCCCTTAAATCACTACGTTACAAGAATTAAACCTACAAAATTGTTTTGTTCTTCGTCACCGATACATATTTCTAGATTTCTGATGCGATGTGCTTGTGTTTTGTGTGTGCAGGTACGGATCGTGCTCACCTGACGCGTCTGCCGCGGATGCAGGTAGAGTTTGCTAAAGCTCTTATCGGTGCTAGCAACGAGCTCACCTTTATTGCTACGTTCAAGCAACAGATGAAAAACACCGGCTCGATATTCTCACTATCGGAAGGAAATACACCGTGAGTGATATAAATAGATAAGATAAAATATAAATATGAATATAATATATAGATATGAATATAAATAGATATATAAATAGATAATAGCTTCATATAAATTCATGCAAATTTCAAGAGTATATTAAGATAAGATATTATTCTAATTTGGAGTCTTAATATACATGTTATTGATACTATATATTCTAATTGCTGGATAACAGTTAGCAAGCTTAACACATGTGAAATGGGGCAGACGCTATGGCCTAGTAGTAGTGAAATTATCAGATGCGCATCATAGAAGATTTAATTATTATTACACATAATGTATTACTAACATTGATATCATTTTGATATCTAGTATGGTAGATCTACCGTTTGGCATTACTATTACTACATAACCATCATGGGTTTCTGCTCACCAACATTCAACTACTCCCGAGAAATAAATATGCATAAAAATACCTTCTCATGCCTTTCAAGTAGAACATCTAATGTCCTTTCCAATGATTACAGCATATAAACCCCTACTACGTGTCTACGTTTACCCCTATACTGCGTTTCTTAATCTTAGGGAGTAAATATACATTTTTAGGAGACAACGCAAAATAACCTATAGTTCGAGAACTTAAGGGGTATATATGTTTGATTTAAAATCGGACCAAGGAGAAACAAATGATTCAAAGCTACCGTATGGCCTAATCCAAATCCACGCACATTCTATAAAGCCTTTGCGCGCACATTTACTTTAATATCGTTTCTACAATAAGATTTAATAATGAACTTTCCTTCTATCGAAATTATTGTTTTTTATCTCATGAATTGACTCTGGCACAAGATTAATCTTCGTTGTAATAATGTGATCAGATTCTGTCAGGGGATATGATGTGAGATACCCCTCTAATCTAAGGTAAAACTAATACTGCTCGCCGACTATATCATCAATAATTATTCTGTATTCAATACTTCTAGACTCTTAGAAATACAAAGCAGTGGGCGGAAGAATGAGGTGAGATTCACCTATACGGAGCGAGGGCAGGTGCATACCGAGGTGTTCCCCGTAGCAGTGACAGACGAGCAGTGGCATAGACTGGCTCTATCTTTGAGCGGCCACACCATCACCCTCTACATTGACTGTGAGGAGGTGGCTCGCAGAGTGTTAGAGGGGCCGGTCGAGAAAAGCTACGGGCCAGACGTGAACCTATGGCTGGGACAACGTAGCGCCGGAGAATCATTGTTCAAGGTATGTTGGAATGCAATAACACACGCGCGCACCCACACACACACACACACACGCACGCACGCTCACACACGCACGCTCACTCACTTCCACACACGCGCGCACCCACGTTCACACACGCGCGCGCATGTATGTACACACTCACTCACACATACAATCACACGCACGCATTCGCGCACGCACGCACATACGCGCGCATGTACGCGCACACACACAACTCACAAACACGCACGCTCACACACGCGCACCCACGCTCACACACGCACACACGCACGGTCACACACGCGCGCATGTACGTACACACGCGCTCTCGCACACACACTCACACTCTCGCACGCACGCACGCACGCACGCGCGTATATAGCGCTATAATGTCGTTTTGTGATAAAACTTATCACATCGTGAAACTTGCTCGTCGCTTTAAGTTTATCATTAGTCAAGCAACAAACAACGATTCTAACTGCTACGTTATTTTCGAACCTAATTCCGGTACTTAATCACTCATTAACAATTAACCGGAACGGTCCGAACGTACGCAGACAGGACGAAAGCTCGGCTGCTTCTTCGCTGCAATATTGCATCATAGTAGTTATCATTTTCGTCAAGAGATGGCGCAGCGGTATTAACAAATTCGCGATTTCTTGTTAAACTATTCTGTGGGTTTTAGAGTTATGTCCTAACATTAAATCCTATTAATAGGAAAAGTCTAAATCTAAGTAAATTAACGCCGAACTCTAAGACAAGCATTGTCTTGTGATTCATATTAAAAAATACGGCGTATACGTATTCTCTTCTGTGTAGAAGTGTGGAATTATATATACACAATACATCATTTCAAAATATTGAAATGACAACAACTGGAGACATAATTATGCACTGTCTCCATAATTATGTCTTCAGTTGTTGTCATTTCAATATTTTCTGTGTAATTTAACTTGCATTTGGAAAATTGTACTTTAAATAATACATATATATATATCAGCAAAGTTTAACATATATTCTCTATGGTATTTTATATTATGTTCAGGGGATTCTACAAGATGTTAAAATTATCGCCAAGGAGCATGCGTACCTACTGCAGTGCCCGCACGCTAACGCTGGTACGTACGTAAAGCACATATACCTACACGGTCACGCGCGTGCGTCAGATCATAGATACATGCATGCATATACAAACACATTGTTGTTTGTATTATATATCTTGTTATATATATATAGTGTGGCGTGTGGCGCTTTTTGGCGTGCGTGTTTGCGTGCTGCGTCGCCGTGTGTGCGTGCGCGTGCGTGAGTGTGTGTGTGGTGTGTGTGTGTGTGTGTCGTGTGTGCGTGTGCGTTGTGTTT